GCCCCCCCCCCCCCAGCCCCCCAGAGCACAAGGCAGCGCTTCCGCAGGCCAGGCCCCGTGCAGGGCACATTGCAGCCCTGTGATAATCCTTTTAGTGCTGAGCGGAAGGAAGTCGCCCTTCTGCTCGACAGGTGACCTAGTGTCTCACCCAAGGGCAGCAGGACTGTGAGGGCTGATGGCCCTGGGCAGGTCATAGAGGCCCAGGAGCTATCTGCACCCCCCAAGAGAGGGGTGCACCAGAAATGTGTGGGGTGCATGTGGTAGGCAGGGCTGAACTTGGGGAAACCCAGAGTCGGGGAGAGGGAGGAATAGGAGCTGGTGGAAAAGGCAAAGGAGGACAGCAGAGCGGTTCAGCGCCGTCGAAGCCAACATGTCAGGGGTTTGCAAGGAAGGGCGCCAGAGAGCCAGCAGCAGGCCAACTGTTCCTGGCCAGCTTCTAAGCCCCACGCTGGGAGGCTGTGCCTGCCCTCTGTGATGGGCCTGTGCAGAGCCAGGATCTGCGCTTTCTGATTGAGTTTGGGTCCCCTGGCCATCCCAGACCTGGCCGTGCGCTCACAGAGCCTTGAGGGTGGCTCCCAGATACTTATGGGAGGCCATAGGCCTGCGCCAGCTGGAAGCACCTTTATAGCTGGTTCTGAGTCTGGGGGGAGGGGAAACCCTCTAGGAGGCCAGCCCCATGCTAGCCCTTCTGCGGCTTCCTGGTTCATGTGGCTTCAAGGTCAAGTCTGTGACAGCCCCTGGGAAGACTTGGCCATGCCTGCCTCTAGGAAGCCCCCCAGCTGCCAGGGCTGCTGCTTCTGTCTGGATTCCCCCTCAGGCTGGTTTCCCTGAGCTGTCGGGCCCCTGGCAGCAGACAGCGCCCAGGGAGCAACCTTGGGAGTGTGGCGCAGGGACATCACCAGGCCTTTCCAGACGGCTGCCAACTGGGAAACCAGCTGATATTTTTCTGCCTTTGAAAGGGGTTTCTCTCTCCATCCCTGGCCCTCCATCAGCAGTGCCCAGGGGTCAGGCAGCTGGCTGGGGTCAGAGCTACAATGTGTGATCCAGGTCCAAGCCTGCCAGGCAAGCCCAGTCCTCGCAGCACCCCATTTAGTCAAAACTGAACTTGAGGCCAGGTGGAAACAGTGCCTGGCACTGGGGCGTGGTCTCCCCCACCACACTGAAAGCCGCGTGTGAGCAGGGCCATGGCTACCCCGAACAGGCCAGCTTCTCAGCATGTAGGGTGGGAGAGGCCCAGCATAGATGCTTATTAGTGAATGAATGCACCCCACCTGCTCCAGCATATTTATGGAGGGGTTTCACTAGGGCCTGCAGGCTCCTCCGGGTCACGGATCTGTTGGACAGCCCCAGGAAACACTCGGAGGATGTTAAAATCACCCCACTCTCATGAGGAGTGTCTCATCCCAAGCCTCTGCCTGTGGGGACCCAGGACCAGCATCTCTCTTCTGCCTCCAAGTCCCTGCTCCCCAGCATAGAAGCTGCTCCTGCTACCAGCACATTCTCTCTGGCTCTCTTCCCCCACCCACCCCCTGGTCCTCCCTTCTCCCTCTCCCTC